ACCGCGAAAAAAAAAATTAAGTAATTTTTTTAAGAACTTACCTTATCAATTTCAGCCGTAACATCTTTTTCAGGTTCAGAATTCGTGCCAATTTCTTGTTTCAAAAAACCTTTCTCATTCCATTCGAAAGGATCCGATCTGTCAACGTTGAAATGAATTTTATTTTCATCATTCTTTTTTTTTATTCCCGAACTATCCATTCATTTGTCATTCGCAATTTGTCAAATTAATCTAATTTTAACATACGAAATGTTTCATCTTATTCAATTCTTATGTCAAATTTCAAATGAATGTGTCATCTAAAATTAATTCAAAATTTCAACGAAACTTATTTTACGAATGACTGCAAAAAGCGATGCATTTCTATCCATTGGCAATAGCAATTAATTAATTTTTTTTTTTAAAAACAAAATTTTACGGCTTGATTTTTAGTTTGTTAAGTTCTTTCGTAAATTTTGTCTGCAACAATCCATAATTTGGTGTGTCCTGATAAGTGAGACTTTTGAGATGATTATTTATGTCAACGAAGCAATTCGGACATCCCTGAAAGTTTCTTTTTGACCAAATAATTATTCATCAAATTAGAAGAATTAATCACATTTATATATCTTAATTATAAAATTGTCAGTTTAGATTATCAACGGCAATCAATGAAACAAATAGTAGAGATTCTTTTTTTAACTACAATTTAAAGATTTCGTGATCAGTTTATAATTAATAATTAAATCATAAGAATGGTTGTATACTTCTGTAGAGTTAAATTATAAAATTATCAATGATAATTGATGAAAGAATCAGTATTACTCACAGCTAATAATATCCGATCAGAAACTGTTTCTTTTACATGTGCGCTATCTTTTCGTGCCATACCTTTCCATGGTAATGTTGATGATAGTAACTCAATTAGCATATAAAACATACCTGTTGAAATGGTCATTCTCAATCTACCTGTTACAATAATATTTTACTTATGAGAAAGTATTACTTTATGCTATAAATGGAAAAAAAATTATGCTATAAAACGCTTGTGCATTTTTTTCATTACATTTTGTTTAAGTTTGAAAAATTATATTTTGAAATTGAAAAAAGTAACAATACGAGAATGAATGTTTGAAAATGAAAAAAGAAATACTTCTAATAAAAATTCATTTTAAATTAATCTAAATGTTATTCAACGAGATTTATTGTTTTTAAATTATGGTTTGCTTTTTTATGAACAAATATTTTTTGCCAATAAAATATTAATCATTGCACTTGGCTTCATTTTAAAGAGTAATTTTCTAATTTTTAAATACAAATTTAAACATTATCTTACTCCATAAATCATCATGTCTTCCTTGTTCTTTGTATAAATGCACATTTAATGAACAATAGCGTACCGTACCACGAAATGCTACCTTAATTCATTGACGTTTGCTAAATTTTGGAATGGAATTTAATCACTTGTCAAATTTTATAAAATTAAATTTTTCTTTCCCTGAATAAAAAATTTTGCAGAACTATCTTCATCTATTTTACTGCATTCAATAGATGTGATAAACTTTAGATGATTTCTATTTGTCATTTTAAAAATTAAATATTTTCAGTTACTGAATTTTTTTTTAATTTAAATAATTTAGATCATGGTATTACTAAGTCCAGAAGCCTATACATAATAGAGTTTTCTATTTTTTAAATTAAAATCTATTGAATTTTATTCATTAAATATGTCTTCCTATCAATTTTTTCCGTTTTCTGAAATCATCGACGTTATTTTTTTGTGTATTTGCTTTTAATTACTTCTGTTTGCAAATCTTCGGAATATCTTTCAATCTTCAAAAATTTTTGCAATTTTGCAAACTTTTTAAAATTCTGTTAGACGTATGAAATCATCTTCACTCAATAGAAACTTATTGCTTTTGAAATAGAATTAAAGTTTTATAAATTACTACGAATTAAATGCAATTTTTAGTTGCTTATTGCTTGATTGTAATATTTCAATCTAAAATAATAAATCGCTGAACAAGTTTGAAATTAATTGAAGTGATTTATTTCCTGTTTTCTAAACTAAAATTATTTATAAAACATGAATGCAGTATTCTTCTTCTGTTATTCTTTTTCCTTGCTCGCATTTCGAAATTGGAAAAAAGAGATGAATAGTTTAAAATTAAACTAATACCTTTTTCCTGGCTTCACGAAGTTTGAGTCTTCCATCCTTATCTGGAAACATAATCTGTCGGGCTAGGCCAAAATCAAACATAAATACTGTATTGGCTTTTTCATCTCGGCCCATTGCAAAATTGCTTGGCTTAATGTCGCGATGTACAAAGCCAACTTTATGCAAATCATGTATTGCCTGTATGCTTCTTTCATTATATTCTTTTCACTTTCATCTATTCTATTTCAAATTTAATTCACTCTAATTAGTTCACACTTGATTCAAAGTCGTTTTGATACAGTAGAATTTAATTTGTTTTATTTCATTTAAATTGAATTTCTTTTTCCATTTACATATCTTTCCTACAAAAGAAATATTTTTCTTTTTGTATTTTTTTTTTGTTATACGCTTCTCTGATGATATTCTATTAAAAAAAAAAAAAAAACATTTTTATTACCGTTGTTGATTGTATGCCAATTTTTAAAACACTTCCAATAGACATTTTTCGATCTCGTAATCGTCTTCGAATATCCGATAATTCCTTCCCCAACAATGACATTATCAGAAAGCTACAAATTTTCACAGTTAAAATGACATTATAAATTAAAATATTGGAAATAGACATTATATAATACTCTTTTTGCTTTATTTTTGCTCTTTTTCAAATAGCATTCTATCGGATATGATAGTCTCAATTAAACTAGGAAAATTATTTGATTTTAAATTGACAAGCATCGATTATTTAGAATTACTGGAATTTTTGAAACATTTCACTATGTGAGATTTCACTATTGCAAGCATTTGAGTATAAAAGACTTTTCCCTTTTCGATTCTCATTTATGCAAAAAATTTAACTTTCTCAAATTTTTCAAAATTTACTCTTTTTTGAATTAAAAAATCAAGATTTCATTTGCAATACTAACAATATTAACAGTGAAGAAATACTTTAAATACTTTTTTCTTTCATTTTGAAATTATTCCTCCCAGTGAAATACACTTAAATATATTTCTTTCGACATTTTT